TAATAACGTATAAATATGAACTAAATTGAATCTATTAGATATAATTTGCTTTGAGGAGTGGTGGTTTTGAAGTTCATTTTGCACCATGAAGTCTCAAGTTCAAAACTAGTCATTCTCTTTTTTTTATTCAATATTTTTAAACTTTTGTAATGTTTAAATCAACACACCTAAATAGTTTTTGTATCTTTGAGTGCCTAATAAAACATATATCATATCTCAACGTATATATACATATTTATATATATATAATTTTCGAAGTTAATAGGTGTATGTGCAGTTGTGGACCATCTTCATGAATGAGTGCTTTGTGAGGTAGGTGAAAAATGAAAGACAATGTGAATTGGAATTATTATTTAAGAAAAACTGTGAATTGGAATTATTATTTAAGAAAAACTGAAAAATGCAAAAAAATATTCTTGAACTATACAAAATAGATTTTTCGTTAATCGTATAAAAACAATTTTGGTCCTCTTTCACACAAATAATAATAATAATAATAATAATAATTATATTATTATATTTGTATACATTTATAAAAGGGAAAATTACGCGGTTAAGTAAATTTATACTATTTAATTACTCATTATAGCTATAATTTGCTATAATTACCACTCACGACTAACATTATACATTAATTACGCGGGCTGACTTCGAGTTTGTATAATTAGCCATGTTTGTATATGTATAATTCGCTAGAATATACAGATACATATGTATAATATACAATTATCTAACCTATATACATATACAATTCGCCTCTTTCCCACTCTCTGCCCTCTCTCGCTCGCCTCTCTCCTCCCTCTCCCAATCTCGCTCGCCATATATACAAATGCATATGTATAATATACAATTATCTAACCTATATACATATACAATTCACCTCTCTCCCACTCTTTGCCCTCTCTCGCTTGCCTCTCTCCTCCCTCTCCCAATCTTGCTTGCCATAAATACAAATACATATGTATAATATATAATTATCTAACCTATATACATATGCAATTCACCTTTCTCCCACTCTTTGCCCCCTCTCTCTCTCTCTCCCAGTCTCGCTCGGCTCTCTCCTCCCTATAACATGTAGATACAAATTGTAATTATCAAACTATAGCTATGGAGAGTAATTGGGCTATTTTTGAGTGGCTATATGTGAAAGTTCCCCTTTATAAAATGACAAAACCCCTAAATGAAATGTTAATCAACTTATTAAGTACCAGGGCACAAGCCTGGATGAGGCGGATAAGAACCGTATGAAGATGTATTTTACAGATGGATCATAACACGTGATATAACATGTGATTTGTGAACAAGCGATGTAACTGACAAAAAATTGTTTATACAGAGATGGAGGCCAATCGGCCTAATTGAAACACATGTCTAATGTGACAAGTGACGAAATCTCTACTAAAATATGAAACTAAACAACCGTTATATGGGTGGGATAGGTCTCGATATACCCATACTTTGTAAGCATATGTACAATAAAATAGCACTAGACACAGTTTAAGTCCAGGTAGAAGTAGAGCTCACCAACTATACAAGTATATATACAACACGTACTCGTATATCTGATAGAACAACATATGACGAGCACATGTAAGATATGATACCATAACTCATGTCTTTCTTAGCTCGTTATACACGTCTTAAGATTGTTCATTACATGATATATTATTAATATTATTATTGCCTTTGGATTCTTGTGTCTTATATAGATTCAACTGACCGACTGAATAATTAATTCTCGAGGGCAATATTGATACATGAATTCTGATATATTGCTAACCAATCACTTATGAATGTTAATTGCATATGCAACCAATCTCATAACACCTATTGTACACGAGGGCTTAAACACATGAGGGTCGGCTTTGCTGTATCAAGCATAAAACAAGTGAGAGTCACCAAAACCAATCTTGTGCACGAGAACACATTAATCAAATGATAAGTGAACACGTGACCACCTCTCTTGGTCGACTGAGCCTCTCTAGCATGTTTGACATAGACTTCATTCATCCATCCAAGGGAAACATGTGGGCGAGCCTTGGCAGAAAAATAAATTTTAGGCTTACATACCTTGATTCCCCAATCCATATAATTATGAAGCATCGACCTTTCCTTTTAGGCATCCATTTTTTTCAACAACAAATGACAAGCAAAGAAGCTATATTAGCAACGAACCAACAAGTTCAGGTCGTATCAAATATATGTTAAAAGCTAGACGAGCGACAAGTTCGCAAGGCCTCAGAGAGTTGAATCAAATAGACAAAATTGCTAATCAATAGAAGAGAACACTTTCAATTCAATCAGAGGGTCATTTGCTGTCCCACATAATAAGATTTTATAATGAAGAAAAACTGCAGGTACTGGTTACAACGAGTACCAAGGTTTAGAAGAAACAAACACAAATTAGCAAATAGGACCAGATATTGAAACTACATGAAACATAAACTCCAATGCAAAACTTCTAGCAGAAGCACTCCACCAGACATCTAGCACTTGATCTCCTTCAAGCCAGGTGCAAGGTACAAAAAGGTAGGATCAGCTGAACCATCCTTGTAGTATGCGAACACCAGGGCACTGTCGTCATGCATGCCCTCACCAACAAAGCTGCCAGCACACACATAGTATCAGTTTCTATTTCAAGGTGCCAAGTATGTAGAAGGAAAAACAAAACGCATTCAACTTCGGTAAGGAATTAGCTTAGACAACGTCATAAACTGATATGAAAATGGACATACAATTGAAAGTCCTTGAGCTTTGACAAAAGGAACTTAGTTGCTGATTCAATGTTCTTTTTAAATGCTTCTTGTGCTTCTCCTTCTAGCTTGGGTGTCAGGTTCTTGATGTATCTCTTAATGTAGGTAACAAATTGTTTCTTGTCGAAAGCAGGTTGCTCCTGCAAATAGCAAACCGTTATTTATTCACATATAATTAACAGGTATGTTAAAATTGACTCAAATTTCCATAACTATGTATACAAACCTGAAGTCTGAAAGTGTCAACAATATCGACAACCTTGACAGCTTGGTCATCCACACCTTCATCTTCACCTCCACCCTCAGCAGAAGGATTTGCCCCAATGTTTACATCAACGGCACCTTGAACAACCCACTGTAATGTAACCAACACATCACATTATCTCTTTTTACATAGACTAGATAGATAGTCCACAAAAATTTGGTTGCTAATATAAGGAAATTTTGGGAGCAATAATTAACTGGAGACCCTACCTTCCCTTGAACTTCCCAAAGCATTCCATTCTGGATTTCTTTGTAGGGAAATGAGTCTGAGAGAAGCTCATCACCTGCAATATTTTTTTTGAAGAGCTTTAAGTTTTCAAGAACAGCACCATACCAAGAAAGGGCCATAAACAAAAATCTTAAAGCCACAGTCACAAACAACAGTATGTCCAAAGACAGAGTTACAAACAAGCTATGAATAGTGAATTTTCGCATATCAAACAGAGACAGCAACTTGAAGGTGCACATAACAATAAATACTTTAATGGATTAAATTATGATTACTGTAACTCAAATAGCCTTCAAGATGTTTCATTGGACCAGAACTATTTTTTATATGACAAGGGAAACCCACAACCGCTACCCACCCCACTCCTAATCAATAGATCCCAAACCACCACACGAGAGGTAGCCCACACTAGACATGCCCGATGCTCAACCCAGAAGGCAAACTCGTTGCTTTTGCTGGCAAGAGGTTTCGAACTTGAGACCTCCAACTTTTGGGACCTTGCAAAAGACATCTTTTTGCGTTTGTTACATAAATTTGCAGTAACCGGATACATAAAACTAGGATTTCCTAAATAACACAAGGCACAAGTCTAGCTAAACTAGAAGCAACCAATGTAACTTTACGGATCCAAATTACTCATATACGGCTCTTATATATGATATTATATCATAAAGCAAGGTAAAAAACATTGAGATCAAATCCTCTACAAGACTGTTAAAATATAAGATCCAGATTAGTAGATCTAGTTCTTAATTCCCAATAAAAAAAGAAAAAAGAGATTGCACCGCCTTAATAGTTTAGGGCCTTTATGCAGACCACATAGTCAGTAACATCAGTCACAAATCAACCAGGTCGTATTGACAGCTTCAGATCACACAACAAATAAACAGAAAATTGCTAAAACAAAAGCGGAATCATCAACAAGCGCCAATCATCCAAGAAAGATTCGCTAAACAGAGTGCTGAAACAAAACTACTCTAACTTCAATATTACAACTTTCTACCAAAAATTTAACACAAAATATAACAAAGAGTGTGACAGAAACGAGAAAAAAACTAGAAAACTGAAGAAGGATAGAAGATTACCGGTGAGGAGATCCTGATAAACCAACATGGTTGAAGATTAGCCTTTTGCTTTCTCTCTCTAAAAGGGATGATTGATACGAAGAGAGAGGAAGAAAACGACGGACCAGTGAAGGCTCGAGAAGGAGGGTTATGGGTGGTGTACGGCGTCTTTATAGCTGGAGCGCTTGGTAAATTGACCAAATAAACCCGACTTCAATCCGGAATTACGTGATTGCCTATCCCAATTGAGTAGGGTTCTGAATGCCGCCGCAGTCCGCACCATGTCACAACAGGAGCGAAGTCCATTTTACGCTACTGCCCAAGCCCACAACCATTTTATGCTACTAACCAGAATCAAAATATGTTGATTCTAATTCATGTGAGAGTTTTTTAGGAACCGTTGGTTACTGAATAAGGATTGAGTTATTCAGATATAAAATGTTGCATAAGCTTTATTATGTTTGGTAGTATATTTTTGTCAAAGTATAAAATTCAACACACATAATAGTATGTTTGGTTAGAAAATTAGAAAACCATATAACTAATACATGTTTAAATTATGAGTCAATCTATGTATTATTTTATGCAGGGTAAAAGTGGAATAAGTTATACCTGAATAACTAATACTTGAATAAAAATATAAATTGACAATTTTGCCCTTCACTCTCAATCAAATATACACCACTTCTTTTTAGATAAACATTCAGATCCTCTCTCCATATCCGTAGATCTAGAATGGCTCTTCATCTTTCCGGCAAATAGATTGAAAAACTTTCAATATGGCGATCTTTCTTTGAGGTTAGAAGTTCTGAAACTCAAAATTTGGCTGATCTTGTTTTTTTTCTTCTTCTCCTCCTCCTATTTTCTCTTTTTTGTGTTTTTCCTCTTGTTAATCTGATGAGAGATGAATGAAATTCTAGATCTTCTCAGTATTTTCTAGTTAGGTTGATGTTTTAGTACACCCAAATTTGATGTGGGTTTTGTTTTGTTTGTTCAAAAACGTGCTTTCTGAAAAATGGGTTCATTAAGTTTAGTTGTTTTAACTTCTAAAACTGCAAAAGATGAACATGTTAGTTGCAGTTCGACAAAATAGTATTAGTATTCTAGCTATTGAAGCCAAACAAAAATAAATATTTTACCTGTTTTTCAATGTTACTTTTCATTTTTTTTTAATAAAATTGAACACTCTAGTGTGAAACCATCTATTACCTTCCTATGATCACAATGTGTCTACAATAATTAGTTAAGTAACATGATTGATACTTTTTTTCTTTTGGATTCAATTTGATAATGATATTGCAATTTTTAAATGGAAAATAGGTGTAAATGGATTCTCAGCAATTGTGCGATGTTGAATGCTTTATGATCCTCGAGGAGATTGTGGTGCATTCGTATATTGTCCTTATTTGCTTTTTTATGGCTATTTACAACATGTTATTAAGAAACCAATCTAGAAATAGACGGGTCATTCGATATTGTATGAGTGCTAGAATTCCTAAAATCTTGTCTCATCTAAATGTTCTCATTCGTGACAATGATATTGTATGTATTGACAAGCTTAGGATGGATAGAAATGCCTTTCACATTTTAGCCTCCTTAGCCAAGAATATTAGAGGGTTGACTGATAGTAAAAATATGTCGAGTACTGAAAAATTAGCAATGTTCTTAAATATTTTGGCTCATCACGAGAAGAACAGGTCTGTCAAAGTTGATTATATTAGATCGGGGTGGAGTGTAAGTCGAGCCTTTAATGAATGTCTAAGAACTATTCTAAACTAACTCCAGTGTTACTTGTTAAACCTAATCCGGTGCTCGAAGATGATACTGATGATCGATGGAAATGGTTTAAGGTAGGTAAATTTCAATCTAACATTTGATTTACTACAACAAACTTAAAATATTATGGTGAAAGTATTTTTATTTTTAATAGTCCTTTAGTATTTAGAGTTGAATTTATCTTATAAGGTTGTCTTGGTGCATTGGATGGTACTTACATTTTCATTAGAGTTGAAGCAATATATAAGCCAAGATACAGAACACAAAAAGGAGACATAGCAACTAATGTCTTGGGGGTTTGTGATAGAAATCTCAACTTCATTTATGTATTACCTGGTTAGGAGGGATCAACCGTTGATGGTCGCGTATTGCGAGATGTTGTTGTACGAAGAAATGGGTTGAAAGTACCTCAAGGTATGCTAAATAATAGACAGACCCTTGTCTATTTCTACTACATCAAAATAGAATAATATTTAAAGTAATTATATTATTGTTTACATTTTTAGGCAACTACTATTTGTGCGATGGAGGATATACAAATGGAAATGGTTTTGTTTCCGTACCGAGGATATAAATATTGGCTAAATGATTGGCAGGGTGACAATCTATCACCTCGATGTCGAGAAGTGCTCTTTAATATGAAGCATGCTAGGGCGTGTAATGTTATTGAAAGAGCATTTGGACTATTAAAAGGACGCTAGGAAATTCTTAGAAGTCCTTCGTGGTACTCGGTTAAGGATCACAATAGAATTATTAGTGCATGTTGTTTGATACACAATTTCATTCGAAGAGAGATGAAAGTTAACCCATTAGATATGGAAATGGAATTCCACATGGAGAATCAACATGAACATGACAATATTAATACAATTGAAACATCTAATGAGTGAACCACTTGGAGGGATGAACTAGCTCAGTCTATGTGGAATGAAAGATTGGGAAATCAATTTTTATAATTTTAAACTATGTCGTCACTTTTGGTGTGCTTATGCACTTTTGTTTTTGGTTTTCCGCTCACTGTAAAATGTAATAGCTTTTATTATTTTGTGAAAACGAATGGTCAATCTTTTGTATGTCTCATATTGTTGTCTGTACAGACAAATAGTGAATCTCAATGTATATCTATTATTTTTTAATATAAGTAGTGAATTTGTATATATGTCTTCACATTATTTTTTTCCCAGATCAATCAAGTTGTATTATAATTTATTTGGTTATAATTGAAATAATTTACTTGTAAGTTGTAACTTAGTATTACTTGTGATTTCATTTATAATTTTACATATTTAAATGGCTAGTTCTACTGCTGCAACATCTAACACGTCCAGAAAGAGGGCAAGAAAATCAACACCTTCATCTCGACGGGTATGGACTCCAGAAGAGGAACTTACTCTTGTAAATGGATTAAAAGAATTGTGTGTTAATGGTTGGAAAAGAGATAATGGAACCTTTAAACATGGATGTTTAATGGAATTGGAACACTACATAAATGCTCGTCATTCTAACTGTGGATTGAAATCTCTACCACAAGTTGATTCTAAAATAAGAGCATGGAAAAAGAGTTATGCAACAATATCATTGCTAAAGAGTCGAACTGGTTTAGGATTCCAATATAGTGATGGAAGTATCTTAGTTGATGATCCAAAAGCTTGGGATGACTTGATAAAAGTGATTTATATTTATTTTAAATCATTAGGGAATTGCTACTTACTTATATTTTCTCTTGGTTAATGGATCTTTGTATGTGGAATATTTTCAATTACTTCATGTACTTGTTCTTTATTTTCTTAGGTTGATCCAAATGTCAAGTCAATGAACTTAAAAAAAGGGCCATTATTTGCTGATTGGGAAGAGATATTTGGCAAGGATAGAGCTACTGGAAAGTTTGCCGAAGGGCCAGAAGATGATGTTGAAGAAATAGAAAGAATTGAAGCTCAATAAATTACTAATGGCACATCTGTGGGATTTCCTATTGTTGTTATCGACGTAGATGATGCTTCAGGCACAAGAGAAGATCAAGATGCTCAAGAGGAACCCAATGTATCAACTGGAGCAAAATAAAGTCCATTTACTGCTCAAGATGAACCTAATGAATCAACTGGAGCAGCACAAAGTTCATTCATAACTCAAAAAGGTGAAACCCATCAATCTCAGAAACAACGTAATAGTTTTAAAGCATCATCTTCTAAAGTCAACGAAAAAGGTAGATGCAAAAAAAGAAAAACAACTGAAGATGATAATAAGACTGTTCTTAGAGGTTTGATGGAGGTGATGAAACAATTCACTGAAAGTCATGATAAAAAGGATGGCTTCTTTAATTGACAAGCTAGAAGAGCGTGATCTATCTGAGATTCGTGGTAAGATATTTTCTATTATTGGATCCCCAGCATTTGAAATATACAACTCAGATGAACGAGTCCAGGCAACAATGGGAATTACTCAAGATATATAGATGATGGAATTCTTCTTAAGCATCAGTGAACTTGAACATCACAATATGATATGGATGATTATTAATGATAAGCTTTAAATCACTGAATGGTTTTTGTGTAGCTATTTTGTAAGGTTTAACCTTAATAGGATTGTTTGTTACCTAGTAGAATGTCCACAAATGTACATATATGTGAATATTGTGTGCTTAAAGTAAGTTGTTTTTGTATAACAAATGCATGATTTGGTTCAACATTAGTGTTTTTGTAAGTAGCCAACTCAGATGCTCTTCAGATTGCTCAAAACGCTGACCCAAACGGTAAGTTCATCTTCTCCAAGGTGTTTTTAATTCCTTCTTCTCCGAGACTGTATTGAAATTTTCTTTTCTTGCAAATTATTCAGCAGTTGGAGTAATCACAAAGATCCAGTCAAAAATACAAAGTACTCAGATGCTATTTTGTCAAGTGATTATATGTTATTGGGGCTGGTATTCAACTTTTGAAGCTTGGTGTTTGTCATGGAAGGATAATGTTACAAAAATAGGAGACTTCTTTTGAAAAAAATGTAATTGTATGTCTTTGTTGTATGTGCCAGCTTTTGTAATTGAACAATGGATTATGTAAGTTTCATTCACTTTAAATAAAGATGTGTCTAATATTTTAACAATGAATTATGTGTGAGTGAATTATTTCCTCATGAATGCTTTCTCATTTAGCTTAATTTGTATAGTCACGTAGTTGAGGTGCTCTAAATTAAAGAATATCACATCATTATTGCAGCACTACCAGGTTGGAAGTGGCAGACAAACTATAGTAATTGTGACAAAGACAAGGATTTGGATTGATAGTTGGTGAAAGTAACAGATTAACATTTTAAAGAGCAACTAATGCACTTTCAAGTAAAGAATGGAAATAAAGTGATTCTGATAAAGGTTACAGCTATCTATCTACAACAGTTATCTATTCCTCATAATGTATCTGATTGTATTTAATTAGAAGTGATGAAGGGTCACAATTATCTATCTACCATACACAATTGAGATGGTCAGCATTGGAGGTAATAAATCCATCCGTCCTTTGGTTAGTAATGAAAGATTCATGCAATTCTAAGGAGTGAATGACAATTGAATGGTAATCATGTTAGACTTTGAGCAACTAATTAATGACACAAATAGGCTTGCCAGATGGACTAAATTTCCAAGTTAAAACGCCTAATGACACAAACTCCAAATGAAAGCCTCGATACTCGAACTAGCCATCCTACTAGACCAAAATGACCTTCCGGATCTAACCATATTGACGAAATTCTCATCCGATCACTTTTTACCAAGAATATAGACTGAAGTCGAACTTTGAGTAAATTTTTGAGTTAAAACGCCTAATTGCACAAACTCAAAACGAAAGCCTCGAAACTCAAACCAGCCATCCTACTAGACCAAAAATGACCTTTCGGATCTAACTGAGCTGAAGGAATTCTCATCCGATTACTTTTTATAAAGAATATTGACTGAAGTCGATCTTTGACTAAATTTTCAAGTTAAAACGGCTAATTGCACAAACTCAAAATGAAAGCCTCGAAACCCAAACCAATCATCCTACTAGACCAAAAATGACCTTACAGATCTAACCGCGCTAACGAAATTCTCATCCGATCACTTTTTACTAAAAATATTGACTGAAGTTGAACTTTGCCTAAATTTCCAAGTTAAAATGCATAATTGCACAAACTCAAAATGAAAGCCTCGAAACCTAAACCAACCATCCTTCTAGACCAAAAATTACCTTCCAGACCTAACCGCGCTGATGGAATTCTTATCCGATCACGTTTTACCAAGAATATTGAATGTAGTCGAACTTTGACTAAATTTTCAAGTTAAAACGCCTAATTGCACAAACTCAAAATGGGAGCCTCGAAACCCAAACCAACCATCCTTCTAGACCAAAAATGACCTTTCGGATGTAATTGCACTAACGGAATTATCATCCGATCACGTTTTACCAAGAATATTGACTGAAGTCGAACTTTGAAAAAATTTCCAAGTTAAAACGCCTAATCGCACAAACTCAAAATTGAAGCTTCAAAATGCAAACCAAAAATCCTACTAGACCAAAAATGAACTTTCGGATCTAACCACACTGATGTAATTTTCATCCGATCACGTTTTACTAAGAATATTGACTAAAGTCAAACTTTGACTAAATTTCCATGTTAAAACGCCTAATTGCACAAACTCAAAATGGATGCCTCAAAACCCAAACCAATCATCCTACTAGACTAAAAATGATCTTCCGGAGCTAACCGAGATGACGTAATTCTCATCTGGTCACATTTTACCAAGATATTTGAAATTTAGTTAAAGTTTGATTTATGTCAATATTATTGGTATAACGTGATCATATGAGAATTTTGTCAGCGCGGTTAGCTCCAAAAAGTCATTTTTGGTCTAGTAGGATGTTTGGTTTGCGTTTCGAAGCTTCCATTTTGAGTTTGTGCAATTAGGCATTTTAACTTGGAAATTTACTCAAAGTTCAACTTCAATCAATATTCTTGGTAAAACATGATCGGATGAGAATTTTGTTAGCGCGGTTAGATATGGTAGGTCATTTTTGGTCTAGTAGGATGGTTGGTTTGGGTTTTGAGGCTTCCATTTTGAGTTTGTGCAATTAGGCGTTTTAGCTTAGAAATTTAGTCAAAGTTCTACTTCAGTCAATATTCTTAGTAAAATGTGATCGTATGAGAATTTCATCAATGCGGTCAGATTCAAAAGGTCACTTTTAGTCTAGTAGGATGGTTGGTTTGGGTTTCGAGGCTCCCATTTTGAGTTTGTGTAATTAGGCATTTTAACTTGGAAATTTAGTCAAAGTTCGACAACATTCAATATTCTTGGTAAAACATGATCAGATGAGAATTCCGTCAGCGTGGTTAGGTCTGGAGGTCATTTTTGGTCTAATAGGATGGTTGGTTTGGGTTTCGAGGCTTCCATTTTGAGTTTGTGCAATTAGGTGTTTTAACTTGGAAATTCAGTCAAAGGTCGACTTCAGTCAATATTCATAGTAAAAGGTAATCAGATGTGAATTCCGTTAGCGCAGTTAGATCTGGAAGGTCATTTTTAGTCTAGTAGGATGGTTGGTTTGGGTTTCGAGGCTCCCATTTTGAGTTTGTGCAATTAGGCGTTTTAACTTGGAAATTTAGTCAAAGTTCGACTACATTCAATATTCTTGGTAAAACGTGATCGGATGAGAATTCCGTCAGCACGGATAGGTTTGGAAGGTCATTTTTGGTCTAGTAGCATGGTTGGTTTGGATTTCGAGGCTTCTATTTTGAGTTTGTGCAATTAGGCGTTTTAACTTGGAAATTTACTCAAAGTTCAACTTCAGTCAATATTCTTAGTAAAAGTGATCGGATGAGAATTCCGCCAGCGCGGTTAGATCCAGAAGGTAATTTTTGGTCTAGTAGGATGTCTGGTTTAGGTTTCAAGGCTTTCGTTTTAAGTTTGTGCAATTAGACGTTTTAACTTGGAAATTTAGTCCAAATGGTTTTCCAACAATTCTAAAATCTGGTAAGCCTATTTGTGTCATTAGTTGCTCAAAGTCTTACTTCAGAATCCATAACATGATTACCATTCAATTGTCATTCACTTCTTAGAATTGCATTAATCTTCCATTTCTAACCAAATGATGGAT